AAGGCCGATTTGAATGATTTAACTACCATTAGATTCGTCTCGATGAGCTCTACAACTTTAATTAGAGACTCAAAGATAATTAACTTAGTACAAAAAAAAGTTTTCTTTGGACAATCACTAGAAAATTTCTACTTTCGCACTTATAGTAATTTATATATAGAACCGCGTCACATTTCACTATGATCATTCTTCAGTTGACTGGAGAATCGTCAATTAAGTGTAATAAGTAAAAGTTAAATATCGTATAAATAGATTAATAATGTAATTATTTAGAGTTAAATGCAATATTATAAGGGGAAAACTAGTTTCTTTTGCTTTCACTTTTTATAATACACTAGTTAAAGTTAATAAAGTCCTCATCTTTGTATTGAGATGTTGGTATTTGCTTTAGTATCTCGTTACTAGCATTTATGATTATTGAGGGTCGCAACAGTAATTTAAACAGTCAGATCACTTTAAGTGTAATTGTTATAATTCTTATAGATAGCTTGTAAGTTACTTAATTTACAGATTTTATTGAGATATTTAGCCTTTTCTCATAATCAATACTTTTTCATTAACTCTTTAAAATAAAGTGAAGTCCACATAAGCATTATATAACAGTAATGATTATAAATTTACAATAACATTAATAAAAAACATGAATAGTTTAATTAGAATTGTAAATTAATTGAGTTTAATGTATAATTTTTTATAAATTAGAATGCAGAGTATAAGAATTTAATCTTTATTGTAGAATTACATTTATTACAATATTTATATAATCTTTATAAGTCAAAAATAAATTCTGGATCACAAATATCATCTTTAAACAATGTTTCTAGCTTCCATTTTGCATCATTGTTGATAGCTGGATGATTTGTATTATAAAAAATTTGTTTTACATTATTATCATCTATAGTATCAATTGCATTCTCATCTTCTTCAGAGATCATATTAATCCACCGTTGTATTATTTTATCCCATTTATCTACACTAATAACTTGTTTGTTTTTTTCATTAACTTCTGTCTTATCATCTGAATCATTATCCACTACAGATATATTATTGTTTTCATTAAGTATTGGTAATGCAACATTGTTTTGCTTGTGTTGTTTTATTGATAATTTAATCTCTTTCAACTGGTGATGCCGGTTCATAGTAGTATGAAGTTGACTCATATAAAGTACTTTTTGAGGCTAAAATTTTTTAAAAATTAATAGACCTAAATATTAATGATTAAAGATCTAATAAATTTAAACAAACCTTTAAGCAAGATCATAACTTATTATATAATCAGCCTATACATAAAAAAAGCCTTTCAACAAAAGCAGAGTTAATACAAATTCCAAAGATATGATATGCTACTTTACCTAATTCTTTTGCTAAATTAGCACAATATTTCCAATATCCCATAATATCATTATTAAACTGTTTGACAACACATTTAGTAAATAGCTTTTCTCCTTTTCAATACTTTTCAAGTTCAGGTAAAAAAGTAAGAGATTCACTACCAAACTAAGCACAATAATAATATATTAACCAATTACTAAGTTGAAAATAAAGCTGTTCATTTATAGAGTTAAATATCAATATACTATATTTAGAATGAAGAAAAAATAAAAGAAGAAATAATGATTGTTCTCAAGAATTCTATCTGTGCTTCAAACAATTAATTATATAATTAGCGAAATTTTTGTTCGAATAACCTTTATATAATTTTACAAGATAAAAAATACAATAAAATCTTTCAAAAATAATCGAACTCTTTCCACTGATCTGCAAATTTTAATCGATCAAAACCAAAATCAACAATTAATTCCAAATCTAGTATAAGAAACAAGGTATCTTATACTAAGAGAAAAGAAAGAGCACTTAAAATAACTTGTAGTTTATTAAGATAGGCTTTTACTCAAGACCTTTAGTCTAGCAACAACAAATTTTTTAGAAATTTTTAAAAAATTTTTGAAAAATTTTGGGAATTTGCCTAGACCCTGAAAATCTGATCTTAAAATGCATAAACAACAACAAAACAACAAACACATAAGATCAGAAAAATAAACAACAAATAAACAGCAGATCACATTACTATTTTTAGAATTAACAGAAAAATAGCAAGTAAACAAACAACATACATACTATTATTAAAAGCTAAAAAAATTTTTTAGAAAATATACTAGAATTCAATACAACAAACATAGAATTTAAATCAACCTATAAAAATATTTATATAAGAATTTAAATACACTAAAATATAACAACTCTAAAAAGAATTAAGAGTGTATTTTCAAAGCCAGTAGAAGAAAGACAAGAAATATGTGAATTACAGGCAAGATTTACTATTCAAACAGATAGATGCATAGCAAATTATCTGGGAGTAGAAAATTCAAAATATATATCATTTATTCGTATAGCATTAGAAAACTACAAAACAGCATTCCAAAGGTTTTCAAAAGACAACAAATTAAACTTAGAAAACCAAGAACTAATAGGAATAGATCCAAAAACTAATATGATTGAGTTTAGAAATTTGATTATGAAGAGACTACAAGAAGATAAAACCAAGAATACAACAACTATTGCCAAGACTGAAAAAACGATCTCACCTTTTATACAAGTAAAAATGGAGATTAAAAAATCTACCATGCAATTAGTTCTCAATGAGCCAACACAAAAAAGAAAACATACAGACCTTGACAAAAATAGAGAAGAAAATAAAGAAGGTCTGAAGCTTAAGCATCAAGATAGTAATTCAGACAAAGTTGCAGAAGCAATTTTAAATGAATCAGAGAAAGAAATTCTTGAAAGCTCTGATGATGAAAAGGTAAAAGATGAAATAATTCTACTATATACAGAATGTAGATTACATGATCAAAGAACAAAAGAAATCAAAAACCTCGTATTATTAAGACATGATAAAAGGACAGTTGTAGTTCCCCTAAAAAAGAAAAGAAAAAAGAAGATAATATCACTCATGAAGATTTACATTAATCCAGATGGGCTCCTAAAGATATTAGTAACTCAATTTAGGCTCCAAAAAATAGATCGAAGGAGGACCTACAAAGAAAAAAAGTGCCTAAAAGCTTTACTAAAACTGAAGAGACCCAAAACTTAAAACCTGAATATAAATTAACCTTATAGGACTTACCAAAGAACACTTGGTCTAACAGAGTAAAGAGATGTCTTAGTTTCTATAGCAAAGCAAAAATCTTATAATGGAAAAAGAATCAACAAGAAGTTAAGAAGTCGAAAGTAGCTTATATACAAGTTATATGCTAAAATTAATAAAGATTAAAGCACTACAAGAAAGTTGAATGGTTTATTTAGAGAGGAAAGTATGTGCAGAATAACCCCAGGTTATTTCGATAAAGCTGAACTTATTAATAGAAGAAAGTACGCAGCAAGACTACAAGATCTTTTATATAATACTCTTGAGTTCTCTTTACTGAGACAACTCAAACCAAGCAAAGCCAAAGCAGTATATATTTCAAGTAATAGTAATGGAAATAGAAGGAGTATTGCTCTTGTATACTTTAATAGTGAAGAAGACTGTCTAAAAGCACAGAAAAGACAAATATACTACTACAATAAGAAACTTACTTAGATGGACCCAATGGAAAAAAAAGAGAAAAAACTAACCTATGCAGAAGTTGTGGCAAGAAAGGTGGAAGAAAAGCCTTTTAATAGAAAAGTTTCATACAAGAAAAAGGTAGAACAAAGAAAAGGCAAAGGAAAACAGACCCTAATTGAAAGAAAAAAGAAGAAAGAAGAGAAAAAGCAGACAGAAGAATGCCTTTGAATTAACAAAGAACTAGAAAGAAAATTTATCGAAAGCCTACAAACAGAAGAGAAAGAAGAGAAAGAATTGGACTTAGCAAGCAAAATCGATTAACATCAAAGTATACTTCAAGAAATTCTTAACAGACTTAATCAACTGAGCAAACAGCAGGCTATGTCTACTAATCACTCCTAAAAGGCATCTTAGTTGATTTAAAGAAAATAACGGTAGAGGTAACCTCTTTCTATTATCGAACAATACAGCAAGTTTATGCCTTGTTCAAGATATCTTAAGAAACTGTCAAATAACTAATAAAGGAAAGAGCAAAGCTAAATATAATCAGATAGAAAATGATGTAAATAATTCTAAGGAACCAAAGATAAGCCTTAGAAACAAAGATAGTCAAGTAGAATTGGAGATTGCTTGCCATAATATAAATGAATTGTGAAACAACAGACAAAAACTAGAAGCACTATATGAATAGATAGCAGATAACAATATAGACATTCTAGGAATAGCAGAAACAAACATCTCTAGCAAAGAAAATGTTTTTGCAACATCAAAGTTTGAGAATTTTAGAAGCTTCTGGTCAAATGCAAACTCAAATAAGAAAAAAAGCTCAGGAGTAGGTCTACTTATAAGCAATCAATGGGAAAAGCACTTGGGACAAATTGAAAAAAGAAATGAATACCTAATAATAGCTAGCTTTATATTTAAGCAGTATGAGGTAATTGTAATAATAGTTTATTTGCCTTCAAATAATAAGGAAGAAAGAAGAATAATTCAAAGAGAGATCTTAGAAAGATATCTTAATCAATCTAAAAAAGCCCAAATAATAGTTATAGATGATTTTAATTGTATTTTGGATCCTTATCGAGACAAATTGCATAGCAATGAATATGAGCTATTTAAGGTCGATCCATTTATCAAATGGTTGCAGAAGCAAAATTTTGAAGACTTTTTTAGACTAATAAATCTAAGATGCAAGAAGTTTTCTTAAACAAATAGAGAACAAAATATAAGAATTGACCAGATTTGGATAACAGATAATTTAATTAGTAGACTGTATGAAGCAGATATTCAAGATATGAACATCTATACCGGTAGTGACTATAAAGCAGTATTTGCAAAATAGAACTAGAATATTTAATATCTTCAGTCAGCTATGCAGAACTCAAAAGAGAAAATTTCAGTAGATTTGTTTTTCTATATGATGAAGCAATGAAAGAAAGCTAGAATAATTATAGAGCAGAGGTAGAAAGAATTCTTAAGAACAAAGGAAATCTAATACAAAACCTTTCAAACTTTAATTATTCTTCAGAAGAAGAAACTCAGATTTTGCTAGATGAAGTATGAGATTTAATTAGCAAAAGCATACTAGCAGCAGCTCAAAAACTGCTTTCTAAAAAGAAAATCCCAAATGTACTAGCAACTAAATTAAACCGAGAAAAGAAATCTAGGCTATTACAACTCACAGTCTATTTAGATAGATGGATAAGCTTGGGTAGAAAAATCTCAAACTATGTTTTATAACCGAGGATATACAAGAGTTTAATGAACAGATCAAGTATATCAATTCTGTTTGTAGAACTTATATAGAGGAAATCCAAAATTGTTAGATACAAGAAATAATTGATGACCTAAAGAGTTGGTAAAAAATTCTTAATAAAAGAAGAATAGAAGAACTTGAGAGGATTAGAAGAGATGAAATAAATAAAAACATTGAACGAAGATGTCAAATAATAGATAAACAACAAGGGAAAATGCTAATAAGCCTACTTAATAAGCCAATTAGAAAAATTAATATAGACAGACTACTTAAAGAGAATGAACTTACAAGAAGGCTGATTACCAATTTAAAAGAAGTATTGGAGAGTACAAGTAAATATTTTCAAAATCAATTCAGAGCAAAAAATTTTTAAGAAGAGTTAATAAATAAAGAATAGGCTAAAGAATACAGTCCTATAAAAGAAATAGAAGAGTCCTGGTATTATAGTTTGAATAAAAACATCACAGAAATAGAATGATCTGAAATGCTAACAGACCTAAAAAAGAACACAGCATCAGATATCTTAGGCATAACATATACACTAATTAAAGCAGCAAGTAAATGAGCACAGGAGGCCTTCAAAGATATTGCAAGTATATGCATAAAAACAGAAATGGTCCTGAAAAAGTGAAAATTGTCTCAGATATACCCAATTCCAAAAGAAGAAGACTGGCACTACAATTTAAATAATGTTAGACCAATTGTATTATTAGAAACATTCTGCAAGTGCATGACTAAAGTGCTTACTAAAAGACTTGCTAGAGTTCTCTTAGAGAAAAATATACTAAAAAGTATGAATTTTGCTAGTCTCTCAGGTAATTCTACAGAAGAGCCATTGCACATTTTAAATACAA